CTTCTTGTGGTCGTGTTGCCCCTTTTCAGAGCTGTCGTTGTAGGTATTTTCTGTGTTAGGTGTCTCTTTGAAGTCATGTTATGTCTCTGTGTGTCTCGTTGTGGTTGTTAGCCTTTTCCATAGCTCTTGTGGGTCTCTTTGTGCTTTATGTTGTGTTTCTTTCTGGTCGTTTTGTCTCCCCGAGGTTGTTTCGTGGCTTTTGAAGTCATTTTGTGTCTCTTGTAGTTTCAATTTGTGTCTGAGCCATCGTCTGTTGTCTCTATAAGGTTGTTGGTCGTCTCTTGCGGTTGTGATGTGCTGGACCTGGAGCGGGTGTTGGTACGGACCTCCAGGGATCTGAAAATGTAGTCTTTGTGTGGCTGGTTGTGTAGAAGGTTAAACAGCGGCAGAGTATGAGTTGATAGGGAGATTCTCTACAGAGATTTAAAACGTTTGAGTCTATTGGAACATTGGCACAGAGATTTAAAGGGTGTGTGTTTGTAATACTTTCTGGTTCTTAGTGGTTGTGTGTCTCTTCTAGTGGCTTTGTGTTGTGCTTGTGGTCTTTCGCCCCTTTTTATAGATGTTGTTCCTTTTGTGAATATATTCAGTTGTAATTTTGGTCGTTTTTAGGTAGTTTTGAAAGTATCTTTGTGGTTGTTAACCTTTCATAGCTCTTCTGGGTCTCTTGTGTGCTCATGATGTGTTTCTTTGAGGTCATTTCGTGTCCTTTAGCGGTCCTTTTTGTGAGTGAGGCTGTTTGGCGTCCTCTTTGAGGTCACTGTTGTTCTCTCTTCAAAGACATGTTGTGTCTCTTTGTAGTCTGTTGTGTGTTACGTTCTCTGTATTTGTGGTTGTAATGCCCCTTATCGTAGTTGTTGTGGGGTGACACGTATCTGTGTCCTGAACCAATTGTTTGTGTTTCTCCTTCAACCCGTCTCTGTGTTTGTGCAGGACGATGCTGTCCAAGGATAAGAAGCCGGACGAGAAGAGTCAAAGAGGTCGTCCCGCCCCGAGCAGAAAACCCCAACTGTTCTCGGCGATGCTGAAGATGTCGCAGCAGCAAGGACTCCAGGGAACCTTCAGCACTCGTGAGGAAGACCTTCAAAACCTCTGAAGGCACCGCAGAGGTGAGGGCAAGCATGACAGCTTTATATATATACTTGGTCTTCCCTTCAGTGTTTACTTCCTGTCTGTCTTCTTCTGCTGTTCCCTTTAGTGTTTACTTCCTGTCTGTCTTGTTCTGCTGTTTACTTCCTGTCTGTTTTCTTCTGCTGTTCCCTTAAGTGTTCACTTCCTGTCTGTCTTCTTCTGCTGTTCCCTTTGGTGTTTACTTCCTGTCTGTCTTCTTCTGATGTTCCCTTTAGTGTTTACTTCCTGTCTGTCTTCTTCTGCTGTTCCCTTTAGTGTTTACTTCCTGTCTGTCTTCTTCTGCTGTTCCCTTTAGTGTTTACTTCCTGCCTCTCTTCTTCTGCTGTTCCCTTTAGTGTTTACTTCCTGCCTCTCTTCTTCTGCTGTTCCCTTTAGTGTTTACTTCCTGTCTGTTTTCTTCTGCTGTTCCCTTTAGTGTTTACTTCCTGCCTCTCTTCTTCTGCTGTTCCCTTTGGTGTTTACTTCCTGTCTGTTTTCTTCTGCTGTTTCCTTTAGTGTTTACTTCCTGTCTGTCTTCTTCTGCTGTTCCCTTTAGTGTTTACTTCCCGTCTGTTTTCTTCTGCTGTTCCCTTCAGTGTTTACTTCCTGTCTGTCTTCTTCTGCTGTTCCTGTAGTGTTTACTTCCTGTCTGTCTTGTTCTGCTGTTCCCTAGTGTTTACTTCCGTCTGTTTTCTTCTGCTGTTCCCTTAAGTGTTCACTTCCTGTCTGTCTTCTTTTCTGCTGTTCCCTTTGGTGTTTACTTCCTGTCTGTCTTCTTCTGATGTTCCCTTTTAGTGTTTACTTCCTGTCTGTCTTCTTTCTGCTGTTCCCTTAGTGTTCACGTCCTGTCTGTCTTCTTCTGCGTGTTCCCTTTACGTGGTTTACTTCCTGCCTCTCTTCTTCTGCTGTGTCACCTTTAGTGTTTACTTCCTGCCTCTCTTTCTTCTGCGGTTCCCTTTAGGGTTTTACTTCCTGTCTGTTTGCTTCTGCGGTTCCCTTTAGTGTTTACTTCCTGCCTCTCTTCTCTGCTGTTCCCTTGGGGTGTTTACTTCCTGTCTGTTTTCTTCTGCTGTTCCCTTTAGTGTTTACTTCCTGTCTGTCTTCTTCTGCTGTTCCCTTTAGTGTTTACTTCCCGTCTGTTTTCTTCTGCTGTTCCCTTCAGTGTTTACTTCCTGTCTGTCTTCTTCTGCTGTTCCCTTTAGTGTTTACTTCCTGTCTGTCTTGTTCTGCTGTTTACTTCCTGTCTGTTTTCTTCTGCTGTTCCCTTAAGTGTTCACTTCCTGTCTGTCTTCTTCTGCTGTTCCCTTTGGTGTTTACTTCCTGTCTGTCCTTCTTCTGATGTTCCCTTAGTGTTTACTTCCTGTCCTGTCTTCTTCTGCTGTTCCCTTTAGTGTTCACTTCCTGTCTGTCTTCTTCTGCTGTTCCCTTTAGTGTTTACTTCCTGCCTCTCTTCTTCTGCTGTTCCCTTTAGTGTTTACTTCCTGCCTCTCTTCTTCTGCTGTTCCCTTTAGTGTTTACTTCCTGTCTGTCTTCTTCTGCTGTTCCCTTTAGTGTTTACTTCCCGTCTGTTTTCTTCTGCTGTTCCCTTCAGTGTTACTTCCTGTCTGTCTTCTTCTGCTGTTCCCTTTAGTGTTTACTTCCTGTCTGTCTTGTTCTGCTGTTCCCTTCAGTGTTTACTTCCTGTCTGTTTTCTTCTGCTGTTCCCTTAAGTGTTCACTTCCTGTCTGTCTTCTTCTTCTGTTCCCTTTGGTGTTTACTTCCTGTCTGTCTTCTTCTGCTGTTCCCTTTAGTGTTTACTTCCCGTCTGTCTTCTTCTGCTGTTCCCTTTAGTGTTTACTTCCTGTCTGTCTTGTTATTATGTTCCCTTTAGTGTTTACTTCCTGTCTGTCTTCTTCTGTTGTTCCCTTTAGTGTTTACTTCCCGTCTGTCTTCTTCTGTTGTTCCCTTTAGTGTTTACTTCCTGTCTGTCTTGTTATTATGTTCCCTTTAGTGTTTACTTCCTGTCTGTCTTCTTCTGTTGTTCCCTTTAGTGTTTACTTCCCGTCTGTCTTCTTCTGTTGTTCCCTTTAGTATTTACTTCCTGTCTGTCTTCTTCTGCTGTTCCCTTTAGTGTTTACTTCCTGTCTGTCTTGTTCTTCTGTTCCCTTTAGTGTTTACTTCCTGTCTGTCTTCTTCTGCTGTTCCCTTTAGTATTTACTTCCTGTCTGTCTTGTTCTGTTGTTCCCTTTAGTGTTTACTTCCCGTCGGTCTTCTTCTGCTGTTCCCTTTAGTGTTTACTTCCTGTCTGTCTTGTTCTTCTGTTCCCTTTAGTGTTTACTTCCTGTCTGTCTTCTTCTGTTGTTCCCTTTAGTGTTTACTTCCCGTCTGTCTTCTTCTGTTGTTCCCTTTAGTGTTTACTTCCCGTCGGTCTTCTTCTGCTGTTCCCTTTAGTGTTTACTTCCTGTCTGTCTTGTTCTTCTGTTCCCTTTAGTGTTTACTTCCTGTCTGTCTTCTTCTGTTGTTCCCTTTAGTTTTTACTTCCCGTCTGTCTTCTTCTGTTGTTCCCTTTAGTGTTTACTTCCTGTCTGTCTTCTTCTGTTGTTCCCTTTAGTGTTTACTTCCTGTCTGTCTTCTTCTGCTGTTCCCTTTAGTGTTTACTTCCTGTCTGTCTTGTTATTCTGTTCCCTTTAGTGTTTACTTCCTGTCTGTCTTCTTCTGTTGTTCCCTTTAGTGTTTACTTCCCGTCTGTCTTCTTCTGCTGTTCCCTTTAGTATTTACTTCCTGTCTGTCTTGTTCTGTTGTTCCCTTTAGTGTTTACTTCCTGCCTGTCTTCTTCTGCTGTTCCCTTTAGTGTTTACTTCCTGTCTGTCTAATCCTGCTGTTCCCTTTAGTGTCTACTTCCTGTCTGTCTTGTTCTGCTGTTCCCTTTAGTGTTTACTTCCCGTCTGTCTTCTTCTGCTGTTCCCTTTAGTGTTTACTTCCTGTCTGTCTTGTTCTTCTGTTCCCTTTAGTGTTTACTTCCTGTCTGTCTTCTTCTGCTGTTCCCTTTAGTATTTACTTCCCGTCTGTCTTCTTCTGCTGTTCCCTTTAGTATTTACTTCCTGTCTGTCTTGTTCTGTTGTTCCCTTTAGTGTTTACTTCCCGTCTGTCTTGTTCTGTTGTTCCCTTTAGTGTTTACTTCCTGTCTGTCTTGTTCTTCTGTTCCCTTTAGTGTTTACTTCCTGTCTGTCTTCTTCTGGTGTTCCCTTTAGTGTTTACTTCCCGTCTGTCTTCTTCTGTTGTTCCCTTTAGTGTTTACTTCCTGTCTGTCGCCTTCTGCTGTTCCCTTTAGTGTTTACTTCCTGTCTCTCTTCTTCTGCTGTTCCCTTTAGTGTTTACTTCCTGTCTGTCTTGTTCTTCTGTTCCCTTTAGTGTTTACTTCCTGTCTGTCTTCTTCTGTTGTTCCCTTTAGTGTTTACTTCCCGTCTGTCTTCTTCTGCTGTTCCCTTTAGTATTTACTTCCTGTCTGTCTTGTTCTGTTGTTCCCTTTAGTGTTTACTTCCCGTCTGTCTTCTTCTGCTGTTCCCTTTAGTGTTTACTTCCTGTCTGTCTTGTTCTTCTGTTCCCTTTAGTGTTTACTTCCTGTCTGTCTTCTTCTGTTGTTCCCTTTAGTGTTTACTTCCCGTCTGTCTTCTTCTGTTGTTCCCTTTAGTGTTTACTTCCTGTCTGTCTTCTTCTGCTGTTCCCTTTAGTGTTTACTTCCTGTCTGTCTTGTTCTTCTGTTCCCTTTAGTGTTTACTTCCTGTCTGTCTTCTTCTGCTGTTCCCTTTAGTGTTTACTTCCCGTCTGTCTTCTTCTGCTGTTCCCTTTAGTATTTACTTCCTGTCTGTCTTGTTCTGTTGTTCCCTTTAGTGTTTACTTCCTGCCTGTCTTCTTCTGCTGTTCCCTTTAGTGTTTACTTCCTGTCTGTCTTCTTCTGTTGTTCCCTTTAGTGTTTACTTCCCGTCTGTCTTCTTCTGCTGTTCCCTTTAGTATTTAGTTCCTGTCTGTCTTCTTCTGCTGTTCCCTTTAGTGTTTACTTCCCGTCTGTCTTCTTCTGCTGTTCCCTTTAGTATTTACTTCCTGTCTGTCTTGTTCTGTTGTTCCCTTTAGTGTTTACTTCCTGCCTCTCCTCTTCTGTTGTTCCCTTTAGTGTTTACTTCCTGTCTGTCTTCTGCTGCTGTTCCTTAGAGCGTCCTTAGCAAAGGTTTGCTATCGATAAATAGCATATTGTTAGAAACTCTCCCTGGTCTCTGGCTTGAGCTTGAACCTCAGGATCCATGTATCTGTGATCCTCTCCAGAATGGAAGTAGTCATCACATACAGAGCATCAACTAGTTCCTGAGCAGTGTCCTTCACATGCTGATATCCAAGAGAGGGAGTTACACAGTCACAAGATGGAGGAATAGAAAGCAGTATTCAATGTTTACTTCAGATTAGCTCCACGTCAGAAATGAGCATGCTTGATGTCTCTCTCCATAGAGGCTGAATCATCATGTTAATCACATAGCTATCATCTGCCTCAAACAGTCCTGATGCTCTTCTAGGTCATCACACATCCTGTCATGTTCACAGCTACAGTTGGGATACCTTTGTTATCATGTGACTCTCATGTTGGAGGAGGACATTCAGTATTTTCCCAACACTTTCTATGCTTCTTTCTGCAGGTTTCTCAGATGCCCCCCCCCTCCCCGGTTCACCGGCGCTCTCCGATCCCTCGCATCACGGTGCAGGACGGAGAGGACGCCGTGTCGGAGACGCCCTCCATCACCATCCGGATGACTCCCCGGCTTCAGGGCGAGGAGACGCTGTCTGTGGAGGTGCCCTGAGGCAAAGACTCTGCTTCCCACAATGCATTTCAGCAACCTTCAGGGAAGAGACGTGGCATGCAGACCGCAAGAGGAAGACTACAAACCCCAGTGCATCATGGTCTCTGTGTGTAAACTGCTTCTTCTTCTTCCTCCTTTTTTGGCCCCTTTGGATTTCGTGTATCAGTAAAACTGATGAATTGATGGAAAATCATCTAAAGGGTGTTTTACTTTTCTTAACTTACTGAATTTGTGGGCGCTTCTCATCGTTTGATCAAAGATGAATTAAGGAAGGATTACTTTGTGAAATTAGCGTCAGTTTTTCAATTGATGCAAATATGTTCTGCATTTAATGGTTTAGTGATAAACTGAACATCAAATGTTAAATGAACACATAGACTTCCTCTTGATCATTTACTGCTTTGCTTACAGAGTACATTTGAAATATTCTTCTCATATATTTCTGGGTTTCTCATAAATCTACCTCTAAAATCTCAGAGTATTGACTTATATATGTTTCTCATTCATTTACTACGTTCAAATCAGGGAATACTTGTAAATGTACCACAACAACCTCAGAGAATATAGAATGTTTTTTTAGAGTTATTTTTCCGACTTTAACCTCAGGGGATATTCAAGTGTTCGTCTCGTAAATGTACTTATTTGATCTCAAGGAATTGTCCCGTAGTTTCTTGTGAAATGTTTACTTTAACCTTGTAATGTTGCTGCCCCCCCCCCCCAATCCGTAAATTGTCATTTTATATTTCACGTAAATTGGCCCGAATTTTGCGTTTCAAGAGGTCACATCTTCTTCCAGGGTCAATGCTTATCAACAACTTTTCTAACTCATCTTGCTCGTGTTACAGGGACAGCAATGCATGAAAACACTCTATTACAGCTACATGTAAGCAAAACGTTGATATGCAGTATGTGAAATAATAAAACGTTTTTTACCAAACTCAAATTTTCGTCCCTCGTGTTTCTGTTTAAAATGACGTGCACTCGGCAAGTCGTGTGCAAACATTTTCATCGACCTTTAGAGTTGTTCAGACTTTAGCTTACGAGTCCAAATCACATTTTTCCTATTATTGTGGCACCACTTGAATGCAGCATTAACATCAAAGCATGAATGTAATGCTGAATCAGCCACAGGTTTGTTTACCTAAAACAAATGAAAGAGAGCACTTCAGCTGAAACAGGGTTTGATCAATATGTTTATGAAACTCCATTTCCCAGAATCCCTTCTGTTCTCAGCACTGTGGCCTTCTTTGAGGTGATTATATTCAACAGCAGCTTCAGTTTGAAAGTGGTAATGAGGATGTAGACGTATACGTTTGTTGATTTTATTGCACATAATCACATCTGCATCATCTGTAAATGTTTTAATAATAAATACAAATAAGAATGATATAACATAAGTGCTCGGGAGTGCGGATACGATCGATTTCTTCCTGTTTCCACTGCTCAATAACTAACAGACTGAGCTCTGATGGCTTTTAATGATTTCATTCTGCTGTATCTAGGTCAGTGTGTGTGTGTGCGTGTGTGTGTGTGCGTGCGTGCGTGCGTACGTGCGTGCGTGCGTGCGTGCGAATCAATCAATCAATCAATGTTTATTTATAGCCCAATATCACAAACGTTACATTTGTCTCAGTGGACTTCACAGTTTGTACAGAATATCAGTATGACAATACGACACCCTCTGTCCTTAGACCCTCTGTCCTTAGAACCTCTCTCCTTAGACCCTCTGTCCTTAGACCCTCACATCGTACAAGGAAAAACTTCCAGAGAAAACCCACAGTTTAAAGGGAACATGGGAGAAACCTCAGGGAGAGCAACAGAGGAGGGATCCCTCTCCCAGGACGGACAGACGTGCAATAGATGCCGTGTGTAAATTGAAGAGATAATACATTTGCAACATAGGTAGTCCAAATGTTTGGAAATGCATGTGTGTATAATAGGAAGATGAATCCACGAGGATATCCATCCAGGACCTATGATCCAGGACCACAGCCACGACTCAAGATCCAGGGCTCGCGATACAGGACACAGGACCGCAGGATCATCCATGACTCCGGATCCCAGCGTATATAGACACCAAAAAGAAAGACATTTGGGGAAGCTGGGTTAATCGGAACATGAGAGTACACAGGTATAGACAGAGAGAAGGAAGAAGGAAGATGTCCCCCGACAAACTAAGCCTATATCAGCAAAACTAGGGGCTGAATCTAATCAGCCCTAACTATAAGCTTTATCAAAAAGGAAGGTCTTAAGCACACTTTTAAAAACGGATAGGGTGTCTGCCGCCCGAACACAAACTGGAAGCTGATTCCACAAATGTGGAGCTTGATAAGAAAAGGCTCTGGCTCCCATTGTACTTTTAGAGACTCTAGGAACAACCAACAACCCTGCATTCTTGGAACGCAATGCCCTAGTAGGACAGTAGGGTATAATGAGTTCTTTAAGGTAAGATGGCGCCTGCCCATTAAGGGCTTTGTAGGCGAGAAAAAGAATTTTAAATTATATCCTGTGTTCTATAGGGAGCCAGTGTAAGGCAGTCAGAACAGGAGTAATGTGGTCCCTTTTCCTAACTCTGGTTAGTACACGAGCTGCAGCATTTTGAATCAGCTGAAGCGACTTGACTGACTTCTTGGTACACCCTGATAATAAAGAGTTACAATAATCCAGCCTTGAAGTAACAAATGCATGGACTAGTTTCTCTGCATCGTTTTGAGGCAAGATATGCCTGATTTTTGCAATGTTACGTAGATGGAAGTAGGCGGTCCTTGAAATTGATTTTATGTGGGCGTTAAAGGATAAATCCTGATCAAATATAACACCAAGATTCCTTACAGTCTCACTGGAGGCCAAATTAATGCCATCCATAGTTAGTATATCCTTAGATAATTTGTTTCGTAGATTCTTGGAGTACAATGACTTCAGTTTTGGTCGTGTTTAACATCAAAAAGTTTAAGGTCATCCACGTTTTTAAGTCCTTAAGGCAGTCTTGAATTTTATTTAGATGATTAATTTCATCAGGCTTGATTGATAACTATAGTTGAGTATCATCCGCATAACAATGAAAATGTACAGAATGATTCCTTATAATATTGCCTAACGGAAGCATATATAATGTGAACAAAATAGGTCCGAGCACTGAGCCCTGTGGCACTCCATGGCTAACTTTGGTTTGCGTGGAAGATTCATCATTGACACGTACAAACTGAGAGCGTTCAGATAGATAGGACCTAAACCAGCCTAAAGCAGTTCCCTGTATGCCAACTAAGTGCTCTAGTCTTTGCAATAAGATATCATGGTCGATAGTATCAAATGCAGCACTGAGATCGAGCAAAACAAGAATAGAGACACGTCCCTTGTCAGAGGCTATTAGAATGTCATTTGTGACTTTAACCAGAGCTGTCTCTGTGCTATGATGTGTTCTAAAGCCAGACTGAACATCTTCAAATAAATCATTGTTTTTTAAGTAATCACACAGCTGTTTTGCGACCGCTTTCTCAAGAATTTTTGAGAGGAACGGAAGATTGGAAATAGGTCTATAGTTGGCTAAAACCTCTGGATCGAGGTTGTGCTTTTTAAGAAGCGGTTTTATCACTGCTACTTTGAATGATTGTGGAACATAGCCTGATAATAAAGACATATTCATAATATTTAAGAAGGGATAGTTTGTGTTTTTTGTTGCTTTTTTCATTATAGAATTTATTTTTATTTAAAATGATTCATGTAACACGTTTGTTGTGCTTTTTTTTAATTATAAATGTTATTAGGAAATATGTATACATGTCCAAAGTGGCTTTTTAAAAATGTTTTGGTCAACCACTGGTCCAAAACTTGAAGAACACAAATAAATGTATGTTCTTTACAACACAAGGCGATGAAAAGCAGTACATGCTTGTGACTCCAAACTCTCCCTTCAGATTCAGAAGGAGGTTAACGTCTCTAATTAAGCTAACGAGGTTATTAGTATCAGCCCAACAGCTTGTGACTGATTATCCTTCATAGGAGCCTCCTGTCTGCTGATGAACTAACAAGTCAAATAAAATCGCAACTGTTCTCTTTTTGTTGGTTCTTTAACTGTCTAATGATTACTTTTACTTTTCATGTTTTAAGTGCATTGAGCTGATAATGATTACTCTTGTTTCCAGTGGATACCAAAAGCTTTTGCTTTTATGAAATGTATTGCTAACCCTAAAACTAATTTGCGCTTTGTGTTTGTAAGCCCCGCTAAAATCATGGCATTTATTAATCAAATGTTCAATTGTTAATAAATTCATAATACCACGAGATGTCTATATGGATAATAACAGGAGTGGATAAAAAACAAGACTTTGTTCACATTATTTTCTAAAGATCTTTAAATTCAGTTAAAATCTACATTCTTTTGAAAGTTGATTTGTTACAGAACGAAAAAAAACTGAATGTCTACGATAACAAAACATTATAATACTTAGAATAATGACCACCTTAGCCATAGAGACGTGAGCCTCGAGATGTCATGTTAAAACCTGCAGGTATATTGCTGTGCCTGCCGCTAGGGGGCGCTGTCTCTCTGAGCTGCAGGCCTGCAGAACAGGGCCTCACGTGTTTAGAAATGCAGGAAAAGCTTCAGGAAACTCTCATTGTGTGAGACTGAGCCGAAGAGGAAGACAACATGAGAAAAGAAAAGAAGAAGCTTCCTCATCACCGCAGAATAGAAACAGAAGAAGAAGAAGGACACGAGGTGCTAACAAAGGGAAACATGTTTACAATATTCTGCTAATGAAACCAATACACAACTTGAAATGATGCTACACTGATTAACAGAGGGTCATACATTCATAATGCTATAATTCAACAGCACTAACCTATACTGGCGGATGGATACGCTGTTAATCCTCATAAAAATAGATCCAACCCTCGTTAACAACAAACTGCTGCTTTTACACTTTCATTCAACATTAAACAACAAGATGTTATGTGTATTGAAAAAGAACAACATGTACACATTATGACAACATTGACAATGTTAGAAAAAAATATAGAACAAGATGTACCCATAATTATACTTAAATATGAGAAGGTTATTAATTACTAAAATCAAGCTTATACATAATATGTTTTATTAATTCTGACAACTTTTGTACAAAATAGAGTTTTACACAGATCATTGTAAGTTGATGAATAAGCTGTAAACATGTTCATAACAATCACAAACTGTTGGGGGAATATGTTCCAAGGCCCATTACTGTGACCCAGTTTATCAGTTTGTACTGAGCACACGCACCTGTAGCTTGGCTGCTGTGCTCTCAGTGGTTTGTCTCCCTGTTCCTGCCTGTTGGCGTCAGCTGATAGAGGTGTTATGGTTTTATCTTGTTATGCACAATGTTGATTATTCTCTCAGAACCAGCTAAATACATGGGTCTGGGTACAGATCCTCAGAATTGATTTGGAATCCGTTGTGTCAACTCATGGCTCGTGACACGTCTTGTGAATTCTCCGGCCGAAGCTCCAAATAAACCGTCAGTGTTTGCCATCAAAGCTCCTGGGGGGTATACTACGAAGCAGGATTTTCGATTAGCGGCTAAATTCAGGGGAAACTCCGGCTTTCCGGTCCTACGAAGCTGGTTCTCTTTTTAGCAGGCTAGATCTCCATGGTAACTGATGCTGAGCGGCTAACCTGGTCGGGAGCAGGTTAGGTTGCAGGCTAAGAGCTCCACTCAGTGAAAGCACCGCCTGCTGACCAATCAGAGCTCAGTGTGCGGAGTTTAAAGCGATCAAGTCATATTACAGGAGAAAGGAAAAACAGAAAAACTGCCATTGCAGGAAAGACGGCCGGCAAAAATCACCGACTGTGTGAACGTGAACATTAATATAATATCACCTCCATCTTCAGAGCAATCTGACTATTATAACATTAGCGTTAAGAAAGCTTACTGAAATATCTGCCACAACATAAGTACACTGAGTGCAGACGATGTGTCCCATTATCATTCATATCACATCATATCACTTCATAATGTATCATATATCTCCTGATCTGAGTCAGCTGAGCCGTATCTGGCCGTACAACACTCACAGTGTCACATACTGTATGCAGAAGTATTATTTTAAGCAACACATTAAGTTGAGGAAACACTAGAGTTAAATGTAATGAAAGTCAGATCGTGTCTTAGACGGGGCAGTGATATCATAAACCTGTTAATGTACGCATTCAAACACTTTTTCTTTTACCAGCTGTATTCACCTTGCAGGTGCAGCTCTGTGGCTTTGATCCTGGATAAAGTGTTTAAGTCATGGATATTTAAAGTTTAACTTCTTCATATTTGACTAATATTAAAGTTCACTTTTCATTCAGGAAGTATGACGCTGCGCTGTCAGTACGCTTCTCCATGTTTGTGATTGGTCGAATGCTCCAGATACCACCCCTCTCATGTGAACGCGCACCTAACTAGATAGGACACGGCTGGCTTGAGCGATCCACTTGATAACCCGCGTCGTACAGTTTAGCGAGAGCGCGTATGTTTTGGATTAGGCCAACCGGCTAACTCAAACATATCCAGGTTAGGTTGAACCAACTTCGTAGTATAGGCCCCTGCTCTCCCCGTGTCTCTCTGAGTCCTGTTTCCAATTACTTCAGAAGTTTCCATCACACTACTGATTGATATGTCAGAGTAATATTTGTTCCCAAAAAAGACACATGAGCCATGGCAATTATGAAATACCAGAATAATACTAGCGCAAAATAATATGTCATTTAATAGATAGTATAACAGCCTAATATTTCAAACATAAGTATAATTTTTGATATAATAAATGAGACTTTGATATGATAAATAAGAATACAATTAGGCTATTTAAAAAATAAGTCTTACACATTTGAATAATAATAATATAATAATAATACTATGGTATTGATATAGCGCTTTTCCTGGTGCTCAAAGCGCTTCATATTAATATTATTATGGTCATTCCAATAAAGCATCTTTTAATTTGAATTTAATAATGACAATATGACAATATGTTTCCAAAGAATAACATGTATACATTCTGATCATTGAGCATGATGTCAGTGTAATAAAAGGACACACAGTTTACATCTAGTCAATAGCTTAATATGTGTGTACAGAATGTGTAGTTGAATGACACGTGTTGGTCACATGTTTCCCTTCGTTTGAATCCCGGAACATTTCTCTCATGTGGTCCGAGACCGCAGATCCGACCCGGTCTATAAATGTTCTGATCCTCCCCGCCCATGCGCAGATGAATCCCCAAACGTCCGACAGTCTGTGAAGGCAGCATCAGCTCAGACAGGCAGAAGTGACTCCGCGGCGGAGACTCTCAGAAACATCCGCAGAAGACCCCAGAAACCGGCTGATAACGGGCAGGATTGAACTCTAAACTCACTCTGGAACATCTGAAGTCTTCCCCCGAGTGACACTGGAAGGATTTAGTGCCAGGAATAAGCGTGTAGAGGCGGGGGAAGAGGAGGGAGAGGAGTCGCTGCTTCGGACCGGAGGTGAGGAACACTTTGGCGTCTTGAAACTTTGTATCTCTTTCTAACACACAATAACGGGTTTATGTGGTTTACAGGGACACTTTCACCCGACTTTAGAGGGACTGTCCCGTGTTGTGTGTGTGAGAGTTATGTGTGTGTTTGTCCTCTAACTGAACCAGCTGGGGAAAGTGTCACACAGTGCAGATCTGATTCACCTCTCGCTCTTTTCATGCGGCCGTCCAGCAGCTTCCATCGCTGCAAAGCCTTTCTGTGTGTGAGACAAAAGAGCCTCACCTGGTCCACGCACACGCACACGCACGCACAGTGCCAGTGCTGGCTGAACATATTAAATATGTATTGGTAATTGACGATGACTTCTAGTTGTCCTTGTAGGACTTGGCAATATATCAATATCGTGATATAAGACTAGAACTCGTGTAGGATTTTGGACATTTTGATATCGTAAGTGTATTTTCCTGGTTTTGAAGTCTTATTGCAATGTTTGTGGACAATATGTCCTATGTCCTTGTGAACTTTGGCAATATATCAATATTATATTGTTTCATGATTCATTATCGTCTTAGGTTTTCGATTGTTGATATGTCAAGTGTTAAAGGCTGCAAACGGTACATTTATATAATTTTATGAATTTAACAGACTTTGTTATTTTTCCACATACTTTTCGAACATTCTTTACAAATATTTCCGACTGTTATCACGTCTACTTTTCGATAATTTTTCACATATTTGTAGCATTTTTTTTAATGTGAATGTTCATCTGTTTTCACGTAGAATTGGACAATTAGACATTGTTCAAATACTATCCGGACATTTACGTGAATTTCCGACTGTATCATTTTCGTACATAATATTCACAGACAACTTTATTATTTGTCTTTACCTACTTGGTCAATAAATCCAAATTACTGATAATATTGATCTAAACCTCTTATTGTAGAAATATTTAGTGAAAGCATCTTTGGTCAACCCTAAAATACCGTCTCGAGGTATTTAATCAAACCTATTGCAGCCATGTGTCCATCATGATAAAAATAACGTCACATAAGTTTGTGAAAGTCTTCAAAACACCAACAGCCCAAACCCAAATAAATCACATTTACAAAACGTGAAAAAGCAATAAAACCTCCTATTGTCAATATATCTAACTTAATAATCACTGAGTAGTACATGTACATCAATTATTTAAGAAAAACATTTAGTGAATATTTGACATGTGTTGCTTGCAGACAAAGAGCACACATATAAAGATGTTATTGAAATTGCATAATGGACCAGTGGATCTCATTGGCAGTGAGAGCACTATGTGTGAAGACATCTGAATGAAGTTTGGTTTCCTCCTTTGTTTTTGTATATTTTTCAGTAGGGTGAATGATGTCATGCTCTTATAATGGAAACCCGATCACAATTACAGACTCAATAATCACATTGTCGTTTTGTTCCAAATGACAAAGCCCCGTCTGTCTTCGCTGCTCACTTTCTGTCTGTTTCCAGTTCTCCCAAGTGAAAGCTGTAACTGAGAGCCTGCTCGTTGGGAGGACTCCAGCAGCTGATTAAAACACACATCCTGAACCCAACACTTAACTGCAGACGGTCCTCTCTTTATCTTGCTTTTCCTGCTCATGCCGAGTGAGTTTATAAAGTATGAGTAACGTCCTCAGAGTTTCCATGAACCTTACGTAACGTCTTTAAATAACTTCCCAAACACAACGTGTATTCCATCTTGAATCAGTTTCCCCTGCATCGCTTTAAACGGACAGCCAGTGACAGAACGTCCTCTCTCTTTCCCTTGTGAGGACATTTGGGACACACACTCTTTCTCTGTCTGTCTTCGTGCTGAGTGGGTCCCACTGTCTTCTCCTTTATTCTAATGCAATCTCAGGAAACTATCAAATATCCATCATAGTCTCCAAAACACTAACGTCTTTAAACGTCTTTGTTTTCCGCCCAAAACACAAAGTATATTCAACCTCGTAGGAGAAGCAGCATGTGGTCACTTTTCAGAAGCTAAAGTCATCCGATAGTTCTCTGTTCTTGCTTTAAGAGAAACCTGAGCGACTAGGACGAGTGTGGAGGTGGATATCCTGTTGGGTGGAAGCAGGGTTTCTCCTTCATCCCTAGTTCATTATGGTGTCATTCCAAGCTTTAACTGAAGCTCCTCTCTGTGCAGGGTTTATCTCCTTTTCCTTGTGAGGAGGGACACACACTCTCCCCGTTTCCTGTTCTGTGTGTGTAAGAGTGTGTGTGTGTGTGTGTGGACTTCTCTATAAATAATCCTGGTTTTCCAGTTGTCTGCAGTTTCTTGCAGCACTGGCCACATCACCGTCAGCTGTTAGACGTGGAGCTCAGGGTTTCTCCCTGAACCAAAGCTTCATACTAACTTTATCAAACTCGATCAACAGCTTGACAGAAATGTTATCGTTGTTCTCAAAAAGCAGCTAATCTGCTTCTGATGGACCGTTATCACAACAACTCAACGTTCTAACATCAGCATTCTGTTTGTAGCACTTGTTTTTGGAGTCGGTAACGATTGAGAGTAAAACATTGTTTGTTCAGGTTTAGCGTGAATACATGACGTCTGAAATGTTCCTTTTTGTGATGTACACAGTCTTAGATATGCAGTATGTGTAATTCCATTCTGAGAACTCACAATCACGATTGTAATGAATATGTTATAGGTTTTTAAAGCTTAATTTCATCGATTCGGACATTTTACACGAACGTTTTCAAAAATGTTCACGTAGATTTCCGTCGGTTTGCTTATTTGACGTCTTTCACTTTTTGGACAATTTCTACGAACATTTCTGACTTTTCAAAATCATTTTCAAATACTTAAAATGTTTTCTATTTTTTACATATATTTCCGAGTGTCTTCATGTTATGTTGTTTTTTTACGTTGATCACATACTTTTTTGAAGTGTTTTACATATATTTTGACATGTATACTTTTCCTATATACATTTTAAACACATTTCTCTACGCACTCCCTTTTTGTGGACGGAGTCGACTAAGCAGTAAATCAATGAACAGGAAATAATCTCTAGCTGTAAACACAAACGCTGCTAAGATAAGATGCTGCATTGATCCCAAATGGGGAAATGTTTTGCTTGTGAATCAAAGTATTGCACATCATTAGAAATGAAATAGAAAAGAACAATTTTACACTTCGAAATGAGCTTCTATTTAAAAAGATAGGTGTTTTTGCTGCGAACAGAAACTGGGCATGTGATGAGTGATATCTGCGTCTGTGTCCTAATGAAGGATCAAATGGAAAATAGTTACATTTTGACCTAATATTTTATGTCCAATGAATGAATGTTATAGAACACATTGTTTTATAGGATTCATGTTCATTAATTACTTAAAGTTAGTTGGATAAATACTTTAATTATCCCAATTTGGGAAATAGTTTAGCTTCAGTGTGTTCAGACATAACATAACAATACTTTAAAAGTGGAACAGAGAATTAAAAATGTACAGATAAAATGAAAAATATGATGTCAAATAGAAACGGTATAGAAATGATGGATCTAAAGTGAAAGTCATAACTAGCTGAATTGGATATAAAAGAGTTGACTAAATGAGATGGTGGTTGTATGGATGCACGTTGTTAGTCAGCTCCATATATCTAATGGATGGAACCCGCCTTCAGTTCAACAGACTTCCCCCGATGAGGTTTTCTCACCGCTTTACAAACACATTCCTGCAGCGGTTTATTAAAGATTAACTCTGCGTGCTGCGTTCAGGGTCACCGCTGCTGAGAGCTAATATTTGTGCTGATATCAGGCCGGAGTTGATCACTACCTCTCCTTCAGTGGGATCACAGCAGGAATGCAGCAGCACGAGGTTTCCCTCCGCTGTGAAATGTGATTTCCCGCTTCATGAGTTTCTGAGGAAGACGCTGTGACGTCTGACTGCGGAGGGGAGAAGGAGGATTACAAAGGGTAGAGCTGCAGATATGAGCCATCGCTGAATGTCTGAGGGACGTATTTATTATTGTTTTCAGCAACAGTGATTGGTCTAATCCAGTGGTTCTCAAATGGGGGTACGCGGACCCCTAGGGGTACGTTGCAGTACTGCAGGGGGTACATGAGATTTATTTTATGTTAATGTGAAAAGACAACATAAGTAACGCATTTAAACAAACTACTAATAGTAGATGAACTACTTTATTCAAAGGTTTACAGAAACTCTGCTCTCTTTCCTCTCCCTCTCCTGACAGCCCGTCAGTCTCGTGCAGCTCGCTGAACCTGTAATAAGTGACCCGACAGTAAAGAATACATATATGTATAACTAGTTTAGCTAGTTCCAGAGTAGATCAACTCGCTAAGTGTGTTAGGTCTAACTCTTAGTGTAGTTTGCTCAACGGTCCGTCACAGCGGCGGAGCTGTGATCATGCAGAGCTGCGTGTTCTCAGTCAGCAGCAGCTGATCTGATCTCTCTCGCGTCCGGTTATACTTCACTCGCGTTTATATCCAAATCTATCAGATCTAGTTCTAGTTAATTATATGACTGCCTGCTTATCAAAGGACCTAAACAATAAGCGTTGCTTGGCAACGGTGTGTGGCCGCAAAGTATAGCGCAGCATTATGCATGTGTTTATATGAGGGGTCAAAATCCCATGCTCATAAAATGCTCATATCTTTTTCTCTTCATTCCCCACGCCCCAAAATAAATAAATAAACTAATGTTAGGAAAAGTAAGGAAGTTTGAGCAGTGTGGGTTTTATATTAATAGAGTTTCACATATTTCAAAACGTAAAGTGTAATAACTGCAGTTTGCCTCGCTGTCAGAATGACACAGATCCTCAGTGAAGCTCAAGCCCATGTTTCACTACATTGAGTACAACTTATTAAAAAGATCAGTTCAAAGCAACTAATGTCGTCTCTGTGTTATTGCTTGATGTTGAAATTGGTTTGCCATGAATTTAGTGATGGATTGTAAACATTTGAAACGTAGCATTTAAGTGTTTCTCAGTTACAATCAGACTCTGAAGATGCAGC